CAAAAAAGTACTCCAGAGTGTTGTTCAGCATGGGGGTGAGTAGAAAATGAAGGCTAATCATGTTTTGGGTGTACTATTCCTTTAAGGTCTCTGAATAGGGTGTGTAACATTGGTTGGGCTGAAAATGGCATATTTGCTGTCCAAGAGCTCTTATGCAAGCCTGGTTAAAAGCCCTAGAATGAAACGACAGGTTTTCTTCCTTTTATGGAATTCTCATGAATATTTAGATGAGCTGTGTGCTGATTGGTTGTTTTACTATAAGCAAAGCTGCTGAGCAAAGATGCATCATAGCAACAAGCACTCACTCACTAAAACATCAAATTGTTGATATGGTAGAGTGACCCGACACCCCTTTTACCCGGACATGTCCTACGTACTTTTCATACCTAAAAAAATGTCTGAGGGGAATTTCAAAATCTCTTTCTCTCTATATATACATATATATCTTACAAGAGCATTAAAAAGCACTGTATAAACCCTGTAGATGAGACGCCTGAACTGATAATAAACCCAGTTGTCACAGCTGTAATAAAACTACATCCCAGAATCAGCTGAATGGAGTCAAGTTGACATTTACCAGTGGAGCTTGTTTCTCTCTTCATGTCACGCTGCAGAAAAATCCTCTTTTGTTGGTTTTTTAACACGACAGAGAGTTTGCAGCAGATGGTGGTTTGGCTCTGGTCGCTCCTTTATCGGGTCCTGTTTACATCCAGAACCATCTGACAGCCTGGTCTCACTGCCAGACTACCTGCTGAAAACCATGTCTGTTCCCCAAACAGGAACAAAAATAACCTCTTTCTGCACAAACATTTTCTCCTTCTTTCTCTCCAGATTTCATCCTTATTAGTTTAATACATGAGACAGACATGCAACAGGCTGAATATTTCAATACATTCCTGTTCTTACACATGGGGAATATTATTAGATCAAAACCAATTTAAGGTTAATGGAACATGAATGTTTTCAGTTCTTTGTCAGTTATTTTCATAAAGTTTTCAGTATCTGTGTGGTTTATTTCTGTTTTCTGTCCTTTGCAGATTGAATAATTTTCCTTCCCTGATTTAGCAGCTGAAGATGCCGCAGCAAGCCTCGATGCCTGCTGCTGCTCTACCGTTATTACCAACCTGGTTATTTAACGTTAGTTATAGACTCGTCTCTGTTTTAATAGAGCATATTCCATCGGCTGAACATAACGTAATTCAATCCAGTCAAGTTTATTATAAGGCCCTTTACAGAAACGATTCCATCAGATCATCCAGTCAGATTAAAGGTCAGAGTCAGTGATTGCATCGGCTCATTGACTTTCTAGGATTCACTCCTCCTAAATGAGCATGTAGATGCAGTAGATATTTCCTTGCATTGTGTCTTTGATTCTTCAGCAATCAATCACACCAAGCACGCATGCGGCGACAGTTGAGAGGAAAAGCTCTCTTTTAACAGGAAGAAACCTCCAGTAGAACCAGGCTCAGTGTGAGATGCCATCTGCCGAGGCCGACTGGGGTTCAAGGAGACAGAAGCAGACATTCTAGAGGAACATAGAATCCCTGATTCTATGTTAGAAAAAATAACTGTAAACAATCACCACAGTTTACTCTTTCTGGAAAAGAACAGTTAAGCAGAGGAGCTCTGAGCTCTCCCAGTGCTTCTTCTGTTTGTTTCTCTGTGGAGCTAGATTGGGAAATACTTTATAACCCATCCCAGAGTGAACAGATCCAGATATATGATATTTTAAATGTCCCGTACTATGTAAAATTCACTTTAAAAACCTTTTGTAGCAGTCATATCTGTACTGAAGCCTATGTAGGAAACTCACAAAAAACCCTTTCACCTCAATCATTGCCTTTCTCCACCTCTTAGCTAATGTTTACTAAAAATGCTCTGAAAAGCATTCCCCTCATGATGTCATCAGGGGAAATAAGCTGTTCATAGAGGTCTGTATTAGCCCATCATTAGAGCTACGGTCTCCATCCTATGTATTATTCCATGCTCACAGGCTATCTTTATGAACTCTGAATGGTTGTCATGCTTGTGGGTAATGTGGGCGTGGCCTTTAGGAGGATGAAAAAAACCAAAACAGCTTATCCAGAGAAGCGCTGAATAAGGGGGTTTTTGTTATATGCTGTCTGCCTAATCTGAGAGGAATTTTCCTGCATAAAATGGCGAAAACCTGCCCTGGGCGTCTCATTGTTAAGATATTTCTGTCAAATGTAGCAGAATATGGGACTTTTAAAGAGATTAATTCATTTTGAAAGCTAGGACCATATGAGCGCCTTTGTCTCTGAGTGGTTTCTAGTATTTCTTTAATTTTTGTTATTATTATAATGGCAGTGTGGGATCATCTTTTCTACATTATTGGTTAGATTTAATCAAACCATTCCTCTCTAACAGGGGTTTTCCATCTTTTTCTTTAAAGAAGTTTCCTGCTATAGGTGTTTTTAGAACTTGAAACTTTAGATTTTATGTCCATAAAAGCTTTTTTGATTTTGTAACTTTAACAGCCTCTTTAATTGGACCTAAGCCCATGAAGGTTTTTCTTTTTAATTGGTTGCTAACATCTTGCTATATAGACCCAATTACTGTTAATTAACAGAGAGCTGTGCAAGCAGCCGGGAAAAAGAAGTATGTTGGGTAACAGAGGCATGTTAAGTGACTCCAGCACCTTATTTTAGAATAATGAACAGTTTACCTTATATCATCAACCTTAACCTTTGATAATCAGCTAACAGATCCATACAGAATTATTGAATGAGGATGTTACATTAACAGGGATCACAGCTAGCTATGGAAATTAACTTTAATAAAAAACAATATTCATTCAGTTTAACAGTCAAACAATCTTATGAGGTTATTTTATTTTGTGTTCATTGCATAACTGCAGACTAATTTAGGAAACCTGTAATCTCCTTCATGGTGTCTAGATATATAATAAAAAACTGCAATAGAACAACTAATCAGTAGACTAATACGTCTGTCTAAAATTGCCTCTGGGCTCTGTTAACATTTGTGCTGCGTCTTCCTTTTCTACAGGGTGGTAAATCAAAGACTACAGCAACTAATTTAGAATATCATGTAAATGGAAGAGGGGTTAAAACATTTAAAGCACTTGCCCTGCAAATAGAGCTGATAAACATGAGTTTCCCTACTAATGTCAAAATGTAGCCACATAACCTCACCTCACAAATACCTGGCACCGCAGAGACATCAGGTTTCAGACAGTGTTGCACCAATACCAGTATCGGGTGGGGCCCCGATCCAACACTAAAATGGTGGTATCGATATCGGCGAGTACCAACAAATAGAGCACTGATAACCATTTTGAGAACCAAAAGTTTCTTCAACTATTGTCACCCATTCCAGGAAGGCAATAAAAAGTTCTACTGGATTCACTTTGTATTAGTCTTTTTCCTGCTTCACAAAGGTAGGCAGCAGCTTGACGAAGCCATGATGGTAATTATTTTATATCCAAGTGGTTTGCAGGTCTTTATATATAAACACACATCAATTTCAAACAGATGGTATCGGTATCGGCCGATACTGCACAGCCAGGTATCAGGGCCAAAAAACGGCATTGGTGCAACACTAGTTTCAGAGCCATCTTTGGTATCTGGTAGATCTTATGTTTGTTATAAGACTGTTTATCGTTAGATTCTGTTGTGCTTCCTCATATGTGAAAAATAGTTATGTAAAGTTATGCTAGACGGTACTGCTGTCCTCTTGGTATAGGCTGTAGAAACGGTCTAAGCATCTTAGATATTCAACATTGGCAAATTGATTACAGGTTTATGGTTTATTTAGCATGCTGACCAACAGCTTAGACAGAAATATTTATTTCTTAGCTTTTTGTTGGATTTCCCTGTGTTAGCTGCAGTTCCTGTTGCAGGCGTTCTAAGGGCAGCCTGGTACATTCCTTCCAATATACAGCCTTCCATATGAGCTCACCTTCAGCACTCATCAAACACGCACACAGAGACTCTGAAGCCATAACTGGAACTGTGTTTTAGACGAAGGGCACGGTGGCGATAAGCTCTGAAGTGTGTGGCTAAATGTAGAAGTCAGAGGTGATAAGAGGTGGCTGATGAGCCGACATTCAACCATCACAGCACACGGTCAAGAACAAGGCAGTTCTCTAACAGCCTGGAGGCGGTTAGAGCGAAACAAAGACACTGGAAGTTTCCTTTAAACTAAAAGGATATCAGCTTTTTTCTCTCTTGAATAAGAAGTGGAAAATCTTAGGAGTCCAAGGAGAGACCAGGAAAGCCATTCAGTGCATTACAATACTGTAAACCACTGTTTGTTATTGGATATAAAGTAGAGCTGAAACATCCAGGAAGGAAGGCTGGAAGAGAGGAAGCCCCTGAAGGATACGGAGACAAAACTACAGGTCAAAGGTGAGTTCAAGAAGCAGATTCAAACCAGAGGAAAGTGATTTTACAAACAAGAGAGAAAGGTTGTTTGTAAAAATCCCCCCAAAGGATTCAAAAGGAAGCTAGAAAAAAAAAAAAAAAACTGACGGAGATCCAACACGGACAAATCAATGACCTTGAAAGTCTGATGACAGAAGAAACATGTTCGAACTAAGAGATCAGGATTCTGTTCATGTTTCTACAGGTATAGAATACATGAGTTATTCCTCAGTATTTGCTGATCCCATAAAAAACATATTGTTTCAAGCTTTTAGATTTTAATTAAGCATCTAATGCCGGGGACCAAATTGTTGATGTGTCATTCTAAAAAGCTCAGTTCTTGACTGATTTCAATCAGATCTGGTAATGCTCTAAGAAATGCAGAGTCTCTCATTGTTGAGGTTCCTCACACTGGAAAAACGATATAGAAATAAGTAAAAATTTCTGATATTAAGTGTATTTACCCTTAATTTGAGTAGGTAAATGAGATACTTTGCCAATGGAATGAGTATTTTCACTCTAAGAATAAGATAATTAGATAACATGCGCTTCAAATAAGACAATACAATTGTACTTTCTTATTTTAAATGTAAATTGTCTCGTTCCACTGGCAAAATGTTTCACTTTCCTCCTCAATTTAAGAAAAAGGGCACTTATTTTAAGAAAAATTGACTGATGTAGATTCAATTTTTTTGCAGTGCAGGGGTTATTCCTTGGTCAGCTGTTCATGGATTCTGTACAGATTTAGGCAGAACATAAGAAAATACGTTTATGGATGAAATGTTTAGGTTGCATGAATGACTTGGATCAAGCATGACTTTCCGACGGTTAATGGTGGATAACAATAAAGCCGTATGGTTAGGAAGAGCATGTAGAAGAGATGGACCCAAACTATGGGATGATAGTTTTATCAAAAGATCAATCCAAATTTAGAAATTAAGGGACATTATCTTGTCTCCAGACCCAAATTATGGATGTTTTCTGGTGGTCAACATAATCCTGCGACTTTACTTAAACAGCAAACTGGGGCATCAAAATCACTCTGAACTCAGAAACCTGTTAGCAGGTGATTTAAAGGGGTCGCCTCCGTGCAACACAGGTGTAAAGCGGTTTCTTGAAAAAAAATAAAATAAATAGTTCAAGTATTCATAGTATGCTGAACTTTTGAAAGGTTTTTTTTTTGTATTTGCAAAGAAAGCTGCTTGACGGTGCATTTTTCTAACAGCATCATCATCCATCCTCATCTTTGTCTTTGCAATTAATGAATCAATGTTTCCAGTGAGCCATTTAAACACCACTATAGTATTGTATGTTTAGAAAATCTGAAATAAATATGTGCATATTTCTAATGAACTCCACCTTTTCCACAGAGGTGACCAGCATGGAGGCAGAAAATGATTCGGCTGCTTTATCGTCAGATGGAGGGGTGGAAAAAATGTTAACAGTGGAGGAAAAGAGAGAGGAGTTTCTCCAAGAGACGATGGAGACGTCTGTGACAACAGTTCTTCATCAAACTGGATTAGTGGAAGAGGGAAATGAAGAAGAAACCAAAGAGGATGGAAATGAAGGAACGGAGGATGGGAAGGAGGAAGAGGAGGAGGAAGAGGAGACTAAAACAAAAGAGTTTTTAGGACATTGGGAGGCTGAGGTGAGAATCCGACCTTAAGCTTTAAGATATTTTGCGTGGATATTTATTTTAATGGAAGGAAGAGAAATGCTTGGATTTTCATCAAATTCATCCAGTTTGGTAAATCTCAGTAAAGGAATTTAATCAGAATGTTTTGTTTCACCATTATAGTTCATTTAAAGATAAAATCAGTATGTTCATCAGTGAACTTTTTTTTTTTTTTTTGTTCAATGTGGAAGTAAAGTAACATAAGACAATTGTTTGCCCTGATAGTGTTTACTTTGTCCTCTTTGAGCCTGAAAAGAGTTTTTGCACTAGGTGTGATCAGCAGACCCAATATTGATGCTCCCTAGCACCATCTACTGGTAGAACCTACTCATGCAGCCATCAACCTGGCTGACGGATGAACATCAGTGTTCATATTGCTGCTCATATCTTATCCCTCTCAGAATCAGTTTTTATTTTGTTCTTTTTCACTCTGGATCTTTGAATTTACTCATTGTAAAAAGTTTTACTAACAAATGGAATAAAAACAAAGTGTAGTATGTAATAAGTCAACAGTTTTAGTCCAAAGACATGTTTGTAACCAGAATGAGCCACTAGTGCAGGAGTTTGTAAAGTCATGGTATCGCCTTTAAAACGCGTCTGAGCTGCTAAATCTGGCCTGACAGCAGAACAAGCAGCAGAACCTCCCACAGTCTGGTCCTCCTGAATAGTTCCCCTGCTGAGATAAACACTTGTTCTCCATGTTCTCTGGGGTCTCTGAGGATTTTCTAGACTTTGATGATTTGTGCTTTGAGACGGATCCTGTCTCACGTTGACCTTGGCGCGGGACGCGGCCTGGCACGGCGGCTCACAGAGGATTAGCTGGAGAACAAATGAAAACGTCTTGTTATTAGGCTTTGATGCAGAACTTTCTGGGGGCTGAATTCAGCTATTTGAGAGGCAAAGGATTAATGAATGAAAAAATGCCTCTTCTGATTAACTCCTTATGACTCCCAACAGTTTGGTGATTTTTCTGCCTGTTTTCTTTCTCTGTCATCGTTTTCAGCTGTTCCTTTAATAAAAGCTCCCGTGTCCTTTTTTTTTAGGCCTCCACAGATGAAAAGCCTCCACTGCCTGATCCAGCCTTTAACAGAAGATGCAGTTTGATCCTCAGTGATGTGAGTTTATGCCTTTTTTCCTCTTTGCTGTTTGACAGTCAGAAGCTCATTTATAGGTCAGTTTAATTAAAACAGAAGCTAAATTTAAAAATATGTTAAGAAATATTTCTCCTTTAACATCAGTGACTCTCTGCAGACGTTTCCTGTCAGACTTCATTATTCTCTTTGATTATTGTGGAGGAGTCTGATCCACTCTTCTGTCCAGGCTTCTCTCTGGTTCTGAATGTCCAATTAAAGCAGGCATCCTCAAAGTTGGTCCTCGAGGCCCGCTGTCCTGCAGGTTTTAGAGGTTTCTCTGCTTTAGAACAGCTTTTTCTGATAATTGCAGTTCAGAAACAGCCTGTTAGTCAACTATCAATGTAAATCAGCTGAGCTGAGGCAGGGAAACCTCTAAAACCTGCAGGAGAGCAGCCCTCTCCACCCACTTTGGGCATGCCTGCATTAAAGCATTCATCCAGATTAGGTCTGGACTTTGACTAGACCATTGCAACACCTGACTAATTTCATTTTTTATCTGTATTGTTGTTAACCAGCTTGGTTGTTCTGTTGAATATCCACTTTTAACTCCAGCATACTTTGGTTTATAGTGGAGATTATGGTTCACTCAGTGGCAGCATGGTGGCTGTAGCAGCAGATGAAGCCCATATCCACACCCTGCCGCCACCATGTTTGATAGCTGATTGGGTTTCTCCCATCATGTTCATCCTTTTCAAAGATGTTTCATCTGACTAAAAAACATTGTTCCAGAAGTCGTTTTTTTTTTATATATATCACTTATAAATCTATGTTTTCGTTGCTGTTTTCTGTCTTAAAAGAAACATTTCAGGGGGGTCTTTTTTTCCCATTGAATAGAAATTGGAGTTGCGTCTTACAGCTATGGCCTCCATCAAATGGACATCGTTTAGGGATCTTTCTTTCATTACAAAATGTAGTTTTTATACATAGGAAATGTTCAATGCAGCAGATAATATTTTTCTTTTCTTAGCTAGGGTTGCTGCCTCCATTCAAATATAGTAGGCAGGTCTGCAAACTTTCAGCATCTTTTTACTCTAACAGGTTAGAAATTATGGACTCTTCTTTAATACCTCGTCTTTCAAGGCCTGTGATCATTTGTTTTGTTTTTTTACTTCTGTCATGATAATTTATTTTTGTACAATTATTGGTTGAGCAGGTAGACGGAAAACAATTTGCAATATGATTATTTATCTCTTTTCATAGAGAAAAGAACCAGCCTTAAGTGCTTTTTCATTAGTGGTGATTTTGGTGGAGGAAGTGAAAGGTTTGGACATTTCTGTTCACTGCAGAGCTGATGGGCCTTCTGTCATTCTGACCTTAGGTTTAACCTGCTGGGATGTCCGCTGATGGCTGGCATCTGAATCTCATGTTTTCCCACTTAGAAACATTCATCGTGTCTGTAGCTGATGGGCTGCAGATGGTTTAGATATAATCTATTGATTCCTATAAAAAGGTTGAAATGAAAAGTTTTAGTTTAGTCTTTTAACTTTCTGTTGCTCCCTCTTGTTTTAGTTACCTACATTATTTCATGCTGTTAATCTATCTTTTTAGCTTTTATATCTGGTTAAAAACTGACTTTTATTTTATTTGAATTTAATACTCTAAGAAGTCAGTATAATGATTTTAATCTCAGAATTCAGGTTATTTTCTTAGAATTCTGAATTTAATCTTAGAATTCTAACTTTAATCTAAGAATTCTGACTTTTTTTTTAAAGAATTCTGAGATTATAGACATAATTTTAACTTTTTTCACAGAATTTCACAGTTAACTTCTGTGTTGTTGTTTTTTTCAGTGACCTTGGAATTCTGTGAAAAATTCTGACAAAACGTCAAAATTCTGAGAAAAAAATTTAGAATTCAGACTTTTTTTTCCATATTAAAATAAATTAAAATAAAAAAATCTGTAACTTTTTTATCTTCCGTAGGTGAGACCAGTTGTCTCATTTATAAAACACTGCATGGAATTCATAACAAAAGTGTACATATGTCAAACATCTGCACGCCAAAAATAATCCAGATATAAAACCATGTGTTCACAATATCTGCCTCAGGGTTTATGTCTAAGACTCCACCTCATGTTCAGTCCTCTTCACCCCCAGGGTGCACCGTAAATGGTCCATATAAAGCACTAAATGCATGTCGCTGTGTATTTAAATGGGGCCTTGGGTGGAAAGAGGCATAAGTTTCAGTCCCTGTTTTATGAGCACACAAGCTTAATAAATGAGACCCTGGGTCCTTTTATTCCACTGATAACCGGCTGCTTTAAGGTAACTCACCCATATTGGCCTGAAAAGTTAAAAAAATGTGCTAAGATGTTTAATCTAAGAATCTATACATGCCTAAGTTGACATATATGATGAGAAATGTTGGGCAAACTGGTAAACAAACCAAGCTGATGTTCTCAGAGTCGTGCTGATATAGAGAAAGAGAAAAGTCAGATCTGGAAGATAATCGATGTTTGCAAAGGTTTGAGCTGAAGGTTCAGAAATAAACCCTCTCTAGATGCCAGCTGTTGTTTCTCCGTCTTGTTACGGCAGCGTTGCCGTTGTTAGGTTTCTGCTAGTGATCCAGCCGTGGGCCTTTATTCAGCTCAGATGGAGAACGCTTTGACTCCCGCTGCAGACGGAGCTCAGCTGAATGGAGATCAGGACGTGGGAGGCGGTGATATTGAATCCCTGCTGCAATTCAAACTCAACAGAATGAATCATCAGATACAGGATGCAGGTCAGGCTGCCTTACATGAAGAACTTCACTTATCCCTACAGCTGCTGTAGTTCTGCTTCCTTCAGCAGACACCTCCTGCTTTCTGCAGGCTGTCCTCCACTCCCTGTTGGATCAACTTGATTCCTTCTTCTCTCATTCCTCTCATCTCCTCTGAATGAAGATGCTAACCTTCATCCTGAAGGCTGTTCAACCCCAAAATATCGCTGTTTCCATGGAAACAATCCCCAACAATTTCAAAGATGTATTTATTTAGAAACAACACATGGAGAAGGAGGACACTTAGAAAACTACTCTTTGTTCTCTTCGTTTCTGAGCTCCTAATAACTTTTGTTAATTTGACTTTAATTTTAAACAGTTTTCTCTTCTTTCAGAGCTGCTCTTGACTTTAAAGCAGTTTAAGTTTGGCTTGAGGGCAAAAATCTGACTGTAGATGCTTCTCTCTGTTCTAAGGTTTATTTTTATCAGCGTTTGGTTAATCTGTAGACTTTCTGTTCTGTTGCTCCTCCAGCTTTCTCTCTTTCTGCCATTGTAGTCGCTGAATGTGATAAACGTTCAGTTTAATTCACTTCAGTTTATTTATATAGCTGCAATTCCCTAAACATGTCATCTTAAGACGCTTCAGAGAGACAATTCACCCAGATCTCACAGTCAGAATGGTTCAAAGTTTCTATGTAAGGAAAACCAGCTGATTGCATCCAGTCCCTTTTAACAGGAAGAAACCTGCAGCAGAACCAGAACCAGGCTCAGTGGGAGACAGAAGCAGGCAGTACCGCGTTGTTTACCTTTGATCCCACCTGTAATTTATCCTTTATGTGTCCTTCATTGTTTCGGGTCTGTTTTACTGTATGTATTATTTCATTTTATATTGAAGTACAACTTTTATCAGATAGATGTAAGTCGAATTTTATTTAGATTAAATTTCACAGGAAAAAGACTCCCACCTGATGGGGACTTGGATCCTGTTGCTAACAGCAACCGCTACAGATAGCCCTATCCTGGAAATGAAAAAAAAAAATCAGTCATAACTTATATTTTGTTATATATATCATCATGTTAAATATAAACTTTTTTACATGATTCTGATTCTTTGGCTTTCGCCTATTTGTGTCACAGTTTGGTTGAGGTTTGTGGACCCAAATGCAGAGGCAGGGAGTCAGAGGTGAGTTTCTTGTGGATTTTTATGAAGTGAAAACAAACAATGGAAGCAGGAATCCAAAAATCAAAACAAAGTCAAACAAACCAGAAACTAAGGAGACATCTGGGGGAAAACAATCACTAAGAGGAGGACTCAGAGAGATGGAGTTGGAGGAACTGAACAGAGGGTTTATCTATGCGAGACTGAAACAAAGAGGGGACTAACGTGCAGATTGGGAGCAGGTGTGAACAGAGCAGGAACAGGACAGCTAGGGAAAAAGGAGAACACAAGAGGGCAGCAGAGGGTAACAAATAAAAACCTGAAGAAAAAAAACAGAAAACACAACAAAATAATTAAACACTTATTTAATTAAATGATTATTTAATGGAACAAAGTAAAACAGAATACACAAAAGAAAACATAACAGAACCAAGACTATGACAATTTGAAATTTGTTGATACTGCTTACAATTAGATAACAAAGTTTGTATTCAATTTATGTCTCAAGTTAAGTGAACTTAAAAAGCTTTTGATCAGGGGTAACCAATTCAAATCAGCGGGGTCCGAATAAAGACAACAACCAGTAAAGGTTCAGAGACATTTTTAATTATAATCTGTTACTTTAAACAGAATTTAACACTGAAATAAAATAAGGTGTTTATGTATCCATTTTATACATTGAATTTTTAAATAAAAAATATATATTAAAAAAATCTAAAGTATTTTTTGAAGTAGAGAACAACAACTTTTTTTTTCTTTCTTTTTCATGGCTTAATGAGAGCAGTGGGCTTTATTCTGCCCTGCAAGGCTTTAAACCTGGGTTTGAATGTGTCTAAAAGTAGCAGCAGCAGCAACCCAGACTGACAGCAGCTCATTGGATCACGTGTAGCCTGGAGGACTTTACCATATTAACAAGAGAAGCAGCGCAAGTGAAGTTAGACACTGCTGTTGGACAACATGCAGTAATTTATAAATGTTTTAAATCAGGATAGGGTCTGGATTAGCCAGCAGGTGGGTCTGGAACCGGACCGCAGTCCGTGACCTGTGTTTTAGAACAATGACCGCCAACTCCAGTCTTTAATGGTTGGTCTCTCATGTCTATCTGTGTTGAAACACAGCTGATTCAAACAGCTTATTGAGTTCCTCACCATATCAACAGGTTCCATTTGAAAGGAGAACATCCAGCCTCCACTTTAGATGTATTTTACAAAAGGGAAAATCCAGAAAAGGTTTTCATCTAGGAGGTTTAACTGATTCTGTTTTCAGTAGGGATTCACACTGCAAACGATGAACTAAAAGTTAACACAATCTTCTCCGCTCCTCCTTTGAATAGGTAACTAATAACAATCTGATAAGGGAAAGAGATGCATCCAACATAACAAAAATCACCTTCATTATTCTATTTGAATTCAGAATATAGAATAGAAAATCCCTTTATTGTCCCAGAATGGGGACATTCTGGTGTTTAGGGGCCAGAATACTCATGCTCTTGGCAGATCATTTTACCTAATAGCTTAAATAACGGATAATTCAATTATTTTGAAAGGTTTACTCATTTTTAGCTTTATTATTTAGTGTAGTTGAAAATGAACTTCATCTAAAACAAAAAGCTCAGTATTTTTCTTTTTGATCCAATCAGCTTTCCTTCCTGTGGCTGGAGAAATTCAGCTGGTAATAAAACACCCCGATGTCTCCTCCTAACTGCAGGTCAGGTATAAGGAGGACTTTGAGAAGATGAAGGGTCAGAGTCGGTTTGTGCCTGGAGCTGAGCTCATCCACTCCAAGAACATCAGCGCTGTGATCTCTGAGGTCTAAACACATGTTTGATTCAATGTCCAAACTTTTAAACCATCTCATCTCTCAATTTAAACCTAATTTGTCTCCTCTTTCAGTCGAAGTACAAGGAGGAGGGGAAGAAGGAGGCGTCAATGTCTCTGTTCTCCATCCTGCCTGAAACTCCACAGACGCAGCACGCTAAAGAAGCTTCAGAGCTGCAGAGCGAGGTCAGACATCTCCACATCTGATCCACTTCTATGGCCCTGCTGCAGAAATACTGAGAATAATTCCATCACTGGATGTTATCATGTAGGACAAGGAGATACGCTTTAATTTCCAAAAGAAATACAGTAGAAAACGGCAAAATTTTTATTATTAAACAGGACATTTTGGCAGTACATTTAAGCTACAAGTGTAATAGTATTGCAGACAATATCAACCCCATTATATGGCTTTAAATACCAACATAGAAACCAGATAGTTACACATCCAACATCAGGGGTGTCAAACTGGTTCCAGAAAGGGACCCTTTCCAATATTAAATCTTTATTAAATGATCTTTTTAATCTCTGTAGGCCTTAAAGGCGGCAGGAGCCCAAATTGGTGTGGAATTTAAAATGAGGCTGTCTTTGGTTAATGAGCTTTTTATCCTCTTATCTGTGGATAATGAAGCTGGTTTTGTCCCAGTAAACCGTTAATATTTCCAATTATTTCCAGCTATAAGTCATGAAGAGTTCAGCCTCCTACAGACTCAAGCTGATAAAGTTGAACTGATTTAAATCCAAACTGTCCCCTGGTGCCAATGAAGAGAAGTTGGAGAATAAATCTAAGTCATCCCTACTTTTTTACCATATATTCTCGACCAGAGCTCTTTGTTTGACTCTAAACCTGCAGTAAATAAAAGTTTATAAGAATCTAAAATGTGAAACCCTGTGCTGCATTGCCTTATTCTTAAGTCATAAGGAAATCAAATTTAAATGTTAAATCATTCTGACTTAAACATGTATATAAATGAACTCTTTATCAGACAATATTGTCCCAAAATTTAGAAAAAAAAA